GACAGGAGGGAGCTGTGACCTGGCCTCCGATCTGGCCCTGTCCAAAGGCTGAAGGTCCTGATCTTCTACTACTCTGTTCAGAGAATGCTGTGGACTTTTGCCTCATCTTTATGACTTTCTGTATTTCATGTTCAGACTTTGCCCCAAAGAAATTTCTGTTCTCAAGTCCTGATACGGATGGATTTTTCCAGAACAGGACAGGAGACATAATTTTGGGGGCACCTTGTTCAAATCTCAAGATGGAGACAATAGTGCTTTAAACTAAGTGTGGGCCCTCCTAAGCACAGGTCAGGCACCTATGAGGCTGATCCTGCTCCAGAAAGTCACTCGTGTGTGGGCTCAGCAAGATGCTGATGCCTCCCTGTGTCTGCCCTGGGCTGGCTCCTTGGGCTATCCAAACTTCTCTCTCTCTGAGTGCACCCTTCTGCTTCCATGTCCTCTGGAACAACCTTGTTCTGGCCCAGGCCAACATGACTGGCTCAGTCTTCCCTTTGGGAGGAAGGCAGCTCCATTAGACATCCACATTGAAAACAGATTCCACCCGGGGCAGATGCACTCATGTGTCAATATTTAGTACTTTGTTGTTGTTGTTCAGTGCCGTGGAATTGGTTCTGACTCACAGCGACCCTATAGGACAGAGTAGAACAGCCCCATAGTTTCCAAGGAGTGGCTGGTGGATTTGAACTGCCAACTTTTTGGTTAGCAGCCAAGCTCTTAACCATTACTCCACCAGAGCTCCATATTTTGGTGCTTAGTAGTGGTAAATAAAGTATCCATGGGTTGCACAATGGTTTGCATTCAGCTAGTAACTGAGAAGTTTGCAGTTCAAAACCACTCAGGGATGCCACAGAAGAAAGACCTGGTGATCTACTTGGTACGATTTTTGTTTTTGTTGTTGTTGTTATTTTTACACGCCACTGAAGTTCCAACTCATAGCAACCCTATGTACAAAAAAAACAAAACACAGATGGATCTTGCACCATCATCTTACTCATTGCTATGTTTGAGCCCATTGTTGCAGCCACTGTGTCGATCCATCTCTTCCTCTTTTGGCTGACCTTCTTACCAAGCATGATGTCCTTCTTCAGCGACTGGTCTTTTCTGATAATATATCCAAAGTATGTGAGACAAAGTCTTACCATTCTTGCTTCTAAGAAGCATTCTGGTTGTACTTCTTCCAAAACAGATTTCTTCCTTCTTCTGGCAGTCCATGGTATATTCAATATTCTTCACCAGCACCATAATGCAAAGACATCAATTCTTCTTCAGTCTTCCTTATTCATCATCCAACTTTCACATGCGTATGAGGCAGTTGAAAATACCATGGCTGGGGTCAGCCTACCTTAGTCCTCAAAGTGACGTCTTTGCTTTTTAACACTTTAAAGAGGTCTT